TTATTATTATTATTATTGTTATTATTATTATTATTATTATTATTAATTATTATTTACACTTACTATTTTTCATAGGTCTTTACTTAAGCATTAATGTTTGACACTATTTTCAAAGCAAGCAGGCTTATGATGATCACCTTGCAAATGACAAAATGAGCAAAATGTCCCATGAACTTTGGAACCCAAACTATATTTAGGAACCTAAAGATTGTTGAGAAGCTCAGTGAATAATACAAAACAGTAATTTCAGAATATTGAAAAATATAAAATAAAATATTTAAAATATAATTATTTATAATACAGGAAAATATTTATATTTAGTATTAATAATATTACAGCATTAATGCATTTACATTTTTTATTAGTGTATTATTAATGCATTTAATTTAATGCATAATTAAAATATAGTTATATATAATACTGAACAATATTTAGAATGTTTCATACTCAGAATATTACAGCATTAATGTATTTAAATGTAATAATTTATTAATTTAACATTTAATGCACAATTATAGGTATATAATACTGAACAATAATTATAATATTTAATACTCATACTATTAGTATAGCATTAATGTATTTAAATGTAATTATTTATTAATGTATTTAATTTTAAATTGAATGTTAAATTGAACAAAGTAAAATGTAGTTATAATACTGAACAATATTTATATTTAATACTCTATTATCTTGCAGTGTCTCTATTATCTTACAGTGATAATGTATTTAAATTTAATTATTTGTTAATTTTTAATTAAGTGCATAATTAAATATAGTTATATATAATACTGACAAATATTTATAATATTTAATACTCATATTACAACATGAATGTATTTAAATGTAATTATTTATTAATGGATTATCCATGTATTTTAAATTTAAAGCATAATTAAAATATAGTTATATACTGAACAATATTTATAATTAGTACTCATAATATTACAGCATTAATGTATTTAAATGATTATTATTAATATAACTATTTAGTAATGTGTTATTCATGTATGCAGTAAAGGCATAAAGTCAAACCTCTGCTGTGACATTGCTGTCAGGAGACAGTGTAACCTACAGTCTAGCACATGCTATACATGTTATAATCTATATTAGGCCTGAGGTTTGCACTCCATCACTGTTGGGCTGAACGCTCCCCTGTTCAAGTATGCTGAGAGTTTATTGTCTGCTGTTTTGACTGTGTGGGGAGAGGACAAGTACAGGAGGTCAGCAAGTAGCGCGCGCTTTTCTACACCATGTGTTGCATTGTTTTAGAGGGTCTAGATGTGGCATAGAGGCGGGTTTGGTATGTTATGTGTTTGATGTGGTTTGTGTTGAATACGTCTGTAGGAGAGAGGAAAAAGGGTTAGGCTATTTTTATATATAGGGTCCTCTCGACAGCTATGATTAACCTCTGAACCTTATACACGGAGCCAGTGGTAACAGAACCCCTTCATCCAGAGTGGCACAGAGAGAAAGAGAGGTATTTGTGGAGGGGGAGGAAGAGCGAGGAAAGCGCAGAAAAACAGAAGTAGTTTGTGGGGGGAAAGCTTGTTGAATAAAATGTTGAGCCAATGCCAAACGTTTAGCCAAGTAAACCATTCACTTTGCATGGACAAGCAGAGTTCGAGGTCTCCTGAATACTAACAGAACCCACATTTGGTTTTCTCCCTTCTTTCCACATCTCAAGCGCTCTCTTGAAGGCTAGGACATGTTAACCTGACCCAGCTGTGCTTCACACTGGGTTCAAACATTGAATCTGGATTATAGGGTGTAATCACAAGTGTGCGGTTTACAATGCTTTGAAGGCATA